CGAGCGTTAAAAATTAAAAATTCCGATACATGAATTTATTCGTCGTCCAATGGTCGTACAAATATGAATTAGGACTCATTGGATTCGTCTCGATGAGACGAGTCGAATGGTGGTGAGATCATATCTCTAGCACCGATAGATAGCTTGCTAATTCCAATTATTTATAAATCATTTAGTGTGGGTTAACGTGTGATCTATCGATGTTAGAGACATGATCTTACCACTATTCGACGCGTCTCGTCGAGACGAATCCAATGATATATGGCTCGAATTTATACGATCACTAAATGGCTGGCTATTCGATTTTTCGCATTTTTATAAAAATCGGATTAAACCGAACCGAATCGCTGGTTTTTCAGTTCAGTTCTTACGGATTTCGGCTCTAATCTGAACCGTCTATAATCTGGACCAAACCGACCCATTCGGAGCTTTAAGTAGAATCTTCTGTAAATATTATCAGAAAGTAAAAACTAAAGGTAGTAATCTTAAATGTTTTTTATCAATTAATCTTTAAAATTTGTAATGTTGTTCTGATTATACTATTTGATGGTTTCTTCTGGTTTCTTTATAGAGAATTTTTGGTTCTTTTAATAGTATTGACATCTAAATCAAAAAGACGAAAAACAATGAAAGAGAAATGAACACTTATGGGGATGCAAAGTAATTGACGAAAAAAGGAAAAAATTTGACTAAAGAAAGAGAGAAGAGTGTGTATAGACATTTAAATGAGAATAGAAGATGATTGAGTAATGCAAATAAATCTTCTGGTAAACAAAATTGATAGTAAAATCGAACTGGAAGAATGGCTGGAAAGAAGTAATAAGAGGGAGAAAATAGGTGATATAGTTTTTACAGGAAGCAAGTTTATTTACTGAGAATACAATTAATAGAGACGTGTCTAAAAATTCAGTTATAGTTGTGTCACAAGGGGCGCTATGTCAACGGAAATTTAGTACATTGATCACTTAAAAATCTGCAGCTATCCAATTATAACGAATTTGTAATGAACTGTATTTTATGTTAAATTTACAATATATTTATTTTACAATATATTTTACAATAATTGTTATAATTTATTAAATATACATGTTAATAAATTGTATAATGTAATGCTTTTTTAAATATATATTTGGATACTAAGTATTTGTACATATAATAAATTTCCAATAATTCTGGCGCCATCATCTTGATATTTATTTCACTAATTTCACTATTACTGCAATTTCATACCTAAGTGGCCTAATTTTAACCTTTTTACTTGATATATTAATTTTAATAATTAATAAAATTTATGATTATTCCGAGTTTTGGATTATAGGTCACTTAACTAAAATTTATAAAATAACACAAAAGAAATATTTATAAATAAATAAAATACAGCTACCTGGTCGCAGCTTAGGAAAAGAAAAAAAGCAGTAACTAGGTAGCTTCAAAGCTGAAAAATACGGGTTTCAGTAAAGAATACATGTATTTGATATTTGGATAAAATATAAAAGAAGGAATTATTTAATTACAAACTAAGAATCTTTAAAATATCTTACTACTCTAGCCTTAGTGTTTAAATAAATAAAAAAAGAATAAAATAAAGAACAATTTTTGTTGAATGCATGATATTAAATATCATTTAGAAAAGCTATAAACCTTTTTTAAAATCCATAAAAATAAACATTATCATATGAATCTAAACAATTTTCATGATGTTTCCACTATAAAAAAATAATAATATATTAACACAAATAGATTATACTTTACTTTAAAAAAATAAATAATATAACATTTTACTTCATTTAAAAATTCAATTAAATTTTCATTTAAATCATTATGACATTTAAGAATTACTTCTTCACTATCTCTATTACTCTTTAACCAAATAGCTTTGTATATAATACCAAATCCCCCTTTATTAAGATATTCAACATCTTTAAATTTATTATAAGGGATCCATTTTAACTTATTTTCAAGAATAAATTCATCTAAGATTGTATTGCCACTTTTTCCATATCTATAAATTTAAATAATTAATATATTAAAGTTTATAATAAAATTTACACTAACATTTAAGATTAAAATTAGTAACACTTACTCTAAAATCACCCCAGCCAAATGATCGATATAGTTCGTGATAGTATACTTTTAATGTGATAGTTATTGATGATCACTTTCCAAATAAATGTATTTTTTCGCTTAATTTGGTATTTGTTGTGTGATCTTCAAGTATTTTTTCAGAAATTTGGAAGTGTACAACGCGAACTTTAGAGTTCAAATTTATATATATATAAAACAAGAAATTGACTTATTAGCAGGGGAGCAGGGGAGCTGCCATTCGATTTGTTTCATTGTGTTATAGGATAATAAGAACCATTTAAAGGAGGACTAAATAGTAAGCTTTATTTACTAATAAATTCACATAAAATTTTCGTGATTAGGTATTTTAAACATCAATAAGATAATTTCACAATCTAGCCCTATTCTCCTCCTGTAATCTTTCATATTCTTTGATTACATTTTTATCCACCTTAATGGAATTAAGGTCAAAGTATGTAGTATAAATAAAAAATTATAGATTATTTTAGTGATTAAATGGATAGTCTCTATGGGTTGAAATAGTTTTTTTTAAAAAAATATTGATTTATATAATAAAATGATAAAAATAATTTTTTATTTTTCTTGAATACTTTTATTGTAGTATAACTTGCTATTAATAAAAGAAATGAACTATATTAAAATAAGTATTATACTAATCATTTAGATAAAAAAAATTATCTATGTAATTTAAAAATTATAATTTATTAATTTTCAATTTAACTAATTTTATTTTTACTAAATAAAAAAATATATTTATCCTAACTAAAAAATCATGTGAAACATGTTTATTCAAATAAAAAAATCATTTATTTGATTATATTACTTGAAAGAACAAAAAAAATTTTAGCAAAAAAATATTGTAATTAGGAAAAATAATTATTATTAAAAATAAGAATTGGAAAAAAGGCGCTGAATGTAACAGCATAATGTCATAGTGTTAATCTGATCACTGATCTAGATTCAAGTCTAAAAACAAAATAAACAATAATATACTTATATAACAATAATTTAAAAAAATACATGGAAAAAATTATATAAAAAAATATAGTATGGATTATAAAGGAAAATTAAAAATATTTCAAACCAATTTTTGATTTTAGAAAAAACAAACTCAAAAAAGGAAAGGGTGAGTCAGAAAACCTGAAAAATTTTGTTTTAAAAGAAAAAAGGAAAAATTAAAAAAAATCAGTTCAAAAAAAAATGAAAAAAAATATCAAAAAAAAATTTTAAAGATCGGAAGAGGATCAGAAATGAAATTTATATAAAATAATTTTAGTAATTACAAGTTTCAAATTAGCTAGGTCTTATTTAGTGTAGGTTTCAATAGAAAATAGATACTTTGTTATGTATATATGGCAAATATAGGTATGATTACAATGTAATTGGTTCAGTACTAATAAGGTTTTCATTAAAAAAAAAAAAAATATTAAGGAAAAAAAGTATTAATAAAAAAATTGTGTGGGGAGGGAAAAGAGAAAAATCGGGTTGAAAAAAGAAATTGAAAAGGAAAAGGAAAGAAAAATAAAAAAAAAAGATCAAAAAAAAAATAATATAAGCTATTTAATAAAAAAAAATGACAATAATTTTTCAGTTTTGGAAAAAAAAAATCTAAGTGGAGAAAGAATGAAAAAAAAAGAAAGAGGGAAAAAAACGAAAATTTTTAAAAAAAGATAAAAAAAAGGAAAAGAAAAAGGTGGTTAAAAGAGAAATGACGGAATTTAAAAAAAAGAAAGAACCAAAAGTAAAAGATTGGTTCAAGAAAAAAATTTGAAAATTTAAAAAAAGGTGAACTGAAAAAATTTAGATTAGTTGGAAAAAAAATAAATATTTGAAAAAAAAAAATTCCGATTAGATGTACAATATGACTTGCCGATCAAGTGGGTCTTAAGTCTTAACTATAAAAAATACGATTTATATTAATTATTAAATATATATATAAAAAAAAATAAAAAAATTCTTTACGAAAGAGAGAAAGGTAGATCAAAAATAAAAAGGCATTTTCTTTTATTTTTATAATTTTTTTTTTTAACAAAAAAAAATATTTTTATGAAAGAAAAAAGGATAAATTAAAAATGGAAAGGTATTTCCATTTTTATTTTTATAAAATTTTTTTTTGACAAAAAAAAATGTCTTTTATGAAAAGAGAAAAAGATAAATCAAAAATGGAAAGGTGTTTCCTTTTTATTTTTGTAAATCTTTTTTTCGATTTTTTTTCAACGAAAAAAAAAAGTTTTTTACAAAAAGAGAAAAAGGTAAAACAAAAATGGAAAGTTATTTCCTTTTTCAATCAAAAAAAAATCTAAAAAGCTATACTAACATATATATAAAATTATCTGAGACTTTTTCATCCAAATTTGGACTTATGGTTAGATCAAATGCAAAATCTAATCCATAAAAATGCACTAACTAATCCATAAAAACGCAAAATTATTCACAATTTTTCATAATTTTTTATTTTAAGATATGATTGTCAATGATCTAATGCATTCCAGGATATGATCAT